GGTCAAGCATCCTCGAGGCAGTTACACAGTGCTTACAACTGTCGCTGGAATTGAAAGCACCAGAAAATAAATTAAGTCATACGCAGCTGCCATCCGTACGCAAGGAAGTAAGCACAAGATGCCGAACACCCTTAGCAGGATGCAGCTCACCCTTCATGCGACTCGCCAAATACCTCACGGCGCTTCGCGCTTGGTGATGTGAGAGCCTGGTCCGGTGAGAACCCGGCGTGCTCCGTCCCGACTTTGTAGGGATGTGAGGTCAATGGTCTAACGACTACGGCATGCACGACTATGAGTACACCTCCTCCCCCCCCCGGACTCTCAAATAGTGTCCACACCACCCATCCCCCTTCGCGAACCGTGCCTCCGCATCGCCAAAAGGTAGACAAGGAGTTCGACCGGATCTTCAGGGGAGGCGTGTTTCATCCCGCCCCTTCCCGCCCGGCCCCTGGACCCCGTACGTTCACTCACCATTCTTCACCGTCGAGGCAAGGGACCCCGGCGACCCCGCATAGCTCCGGCATGCACGGTCGACAGGCATCCCCCCTCGGTGAAGATGGCCACGATTTCAACGTTAGGAAGAGTCCGGGGCAGGGGCGGCCCACATATGACTGGGCTAGCAGCATGCCCCCCGTCCCCTCCCTCCGCCAGTTCGAGTCTGCAGCAAGTTTTCTGGAACATTGGTAGCGACTAACCAGGAACCTCGTCATGAACTCGAATCGCTTTTGTCTACGGTAGTTGTGTGCCTGGCAAAAATCTAGGCACATTAGAGAGCCGTGTGGCCGCGCCAATAGGGCCATACCGTGTTGGTTCCGTATCCAGATCTGGAGGACACGTTTCACAGGAAATGCCGATTCTGTCGTGACAACGAAAGTGCTCCTTGAAGGGAACGATTTCGTTGGATACAGGCTAACGCTGCGGAGGCAACCAGAGTATCGGCAACACAAAGCGCCATCCCAGCAAATTCACGCCACAACACGCGATGTGCCCCTTGTTTCCTCGCTTCGAAGAACTAAACGTGTACGCAACTTCCCCGGACTCGAAACCCAGGGTCCGCAATGGAACGGGGGTCCGGCATCGGCTCCGCGCATCACCATGGCCCCACCACCACACCTCCAACAGGTCCCAAGAGCAGCAGAGAGGCCGTGAGCGGCGCCGTTTCGGGAGCAAGGAGCGTACACTCTCGATCACGCAAAGGTCATCGAGGAGTGGCCTCCCCTTCCTCCCCTGGTCGACACCCCTCGCCACTGGGGAGAGACCAGAGCGGGCAGGCGGGCGGCAATGGCGGCCATGGTCGGCGCGTGACGGGCGGGGGGCGCAGCAGCAGTGGCAGCAAGCGGCTTGGGCGCGCGGTGATCGGCGAGGGGAGCAAGGCGGGGGCCCAGCGAGAGGCTCACGCCGCCGTAGGCGGGGGTGACGGAGAAGGCGAAGACGGCGGGGCCGCCGCGCCGTTTCCGGGTTTCGATGAGTTGTCGAGGTGGCGTGTGACGCGGGGATCGGTGTCGAGGATGGTGCGGCTGGCGGGGGAGGTGAGCACAAAGGAACAACGTCGTTGTCGTCTGTTTCGTTAGAACCCACCCACCGGTTCTTTGAGAGTCTATCCAGCGCCTCTCCTATTTCTTGGCTGTTGTCGTCGAAGTTCCACGTTCACGGATTTCCACGTTCCGCGTGGTACGTCATGAAAACCAAAAGAACAGCTAAGAGTAAGTCACGCCACTCTCCATGAAGGAGGGCACGGTCCTATCAAAAGGCAGGGTAGAACAAGGAACTGACTGAAAACAAGCCGGGGGATAACGTAGAGCCCATTGCTCCACTCGTTAAGACGCAAGAAAGAAACGCTGTAGCGTTGCCACCACAACACATATCATTCACCTACGATTTACCATGCGTTTTCTTTCGTGCCTCAGCAACATAAAACGCAGCAGTAGCCGACGGTAGAACGTAATAAACATACGTGCCTTCCAATGCCCGTTCAAGCTGTCTCAATACCCCCGCACGTGTATGGCTCATGTTGTAGCATTGTCGGAGAGCCCGAACCAGTATTTCCGCTCCATGTTGTTCTGTGCATCAGGCTCAGCAAGTGGCGTTGTCGAACCTCAATCTTGCAGAGGCCTACCGACTAGCCGTGGCCACCAAGTTCTGGAAGACACCGTCTGGCACCGCCGCGGGCACCGCTGTAGCCGCCACCGCCGCCGCCGCTGCTGTCGGCCGAGCCAAACGCCCAGCAAGATTGTCCCCTGCTAGTCCTGTCGCAACCGCCAGTGGCGCCAGCGGCAGCGGCAGCAACAACAATAACAACAGCAACAACAATGAGGACAACGGTGGCGGCGGCTCCACCGACAGCCAACCCCACAGCAGAACACAGCAGCCACAGCAGGAGGAGGGTGCAAGGAGCAAGGAATCCAAACGCCGCGGCGTCATCTGCGCGTCGCCCCCACCCTCGGATCCCGCCGGTGTCGCCGCCACCGGCGAGGGCAGAGCCCCCTTCTGGAAAAGGCGGGGGAGAGCGTTGACGGCTCGGAAAGAGCGGGGCAAAGGGGGCACGGACAACAGGCACGGCGACAAGGAGTTCTTCTGCGCGGATGCGTTGTCCGTGTGCATCGCTTCGGTCGTCGAGCCGCAAGCATAAAAGCGGGGATCGCGGACATGCCCGCCATAGCTTCGAGGGATCTGGCTACTTGTGCATTTGTGCGATTCACAACAACTTTCTTTCTAGTCTGCCATAGCATCGTTGTTTATGATGCATGTCGTGTTATTTATTCGACAATTGTTCGTTTCGTGACTTTCGTTCCAGGCATCGGCCGTGCTTCGAAAGGGCGTCTTTCATCTGCCATTGATGACGCGGGGAACTGGCCTCACGGTCGCTAGTTGCTGTTGGTGGTGTGGTTCTTGCTGGGCCGTGGTTGTCGTCCGCACTGCTACTGTTACTGTTGTCGGTGATGGTGGGGGTGGCGGTGTCGTCGAGATCGTCGTCGTAGTCGCAGTCGTTGTTGTCGTGGTCATCGTCGTCGTCATTGTCGTTTAGATGCCCGTTTCGTGATATTAACTCAAGACTTGTTCGGGTCGGGTCTTAGTGCGTGACGACAGCATGAGTCCGACAGCGTTTAGGTGAGGACTGACGAACACATTTCCGCCGACTGACAAATCAGCGCTCTTTAGTGTTTCGCAGGTCTATTGGGTGAAAAAGAGACTGATTTTGACAGCCCCGTAACGTGTTTCACGTGTTTGAAGACTGGGCTACAACGTACGGGCGAAATAGTTTCTTCCGGCATTGAGCCTTCACTTCGAGAGTGGTTCTGGACTATTCTCAGCAATATTGTGCTTTTTCTCAAAATCGATCGGAGCATTGTTAATATTTTCTTCTACCTAACCTCCTTTCTCCAGTGCAAGAAATTCGCTTCCATGCGTGCGCTTCACACTTCGAGATATGCCTGCCTGCACCCGGGGGATACTCCACTACGATCTAACGAGTGTGGCTTAGTTCCTACCGCTATCCATCCCGTCGTCGATAAACCGACCAAAACACATCTATGTACCAGCGCCTGTAAAGTTTCCATGAAGCGGAAGATTACCAACATTTCAACATTTCAAGGAGCGGTCCAACACCCCGACCCCCTGCTTTGAACCACTCACGCGCCACGTCCCATGGCGTTGCCCACTCCTCTCCCCTGATTACTCTCAGATCGTGGAAGCGTTTTACTTAGCGGTCCTGCTTCTACTGGACGACGACCCCGTCGCCGTTTCCTTTTCTCTCACAACGCAGAGCACGAGGAGTAGTCCACCGCTACCGGCGGAGGACTCCCCCTCCCGTCGCTCGTGGGGCGTCGGGCCCACCGCCCTCCCTCGACAGAAGAGGCGGAAGCCTGCCTGGGTGGCGACTCCACCGGCGGTGGTTTGTGGGTGGGGTGTCGCAGACTCGGTAGAAGCGGGTGGGGGTGGTTGTTGTCTTCTTCCGGATCCTCGGCGACGCTCGGTTCGTACACGAGGACCTTGCTGCAGTCCATCGCCGGCTGGACCCGAATGCTGCGCGACTACTCGCCACGGTGTCAATCATGCGCGCGCGGGGGGGGGTCGGGCGACTTTGTCTATCAAACGTGTTTCTACATGTACATTCCGCTACCATCGTCTGAAACGTGTGTGTGTCGTCATCTTATTCGTTGTAGGTGTTGAAGTTCAAATCTTGTGGTTTGGTGTTTTTTGGGTACACCGACCGGGGTCACACGAGAGAAATGTCATACAGGAGCTTCGCATTGAATGTACTTCACTTCTTTCTGAGAATGCAACACTGCGATTTAGCGTAACTTGTGGGGCTCCTGTTGCCAGATACTGAACGACTGGTTTGCCATAGTTTTTGGCCGGGGTGAAAACCCCGCGCGAGTTTTTCTGGCGAGGTTATGTGAGTTTTGTCAGCATTGGGAGAAACAGTAAAAGAAACAGAATGGACACGTAAACCTCGTGTTTGCCAATACTGGACGATGAAATGCAGGGCGATATCCTCTTTTGAAACTTCCATGTGTCTCCGGAGCGGAGGTTTTGTTTTTGTTTTGAGACCGACAAGACCGCACGGAAGGCTGACGCATTATTACCGTACGAGCGACTGCAATACATGAGGCGGCTGGAATGAAAAGAATGAATCTGCAACCCGTGAGATCGCTGAATCTAGCGCGACCAACCCCGCGAATAGACTTCGATTCCTCCCCAAGCGTTAAAATGCTCGCCTGGGGGATGCGTATGCGTGAGATATCGTTATCTCACATCGCATGGGGTCGTTCAGAAGGGGTCCGAGTAGCTGGCTAGCATGTGTTTTCACTTCCAACGCGCTTCGAAGCACGAAACACGTCCCCCCCGAACGGATGTGGCACGTTGAACATCAGCGCCAAACGACAGTCTACAGAGCGAGGAACCCATCGTGGCTGTCAAGAACTGACTGGCCGCAGAACGCGAAACCTCGACAAGACGAGAAGATCATTCTACATCATAAAAAAGATACGGCAGAAATTCCACGAGCGCCCAAACGTTGGTGTAGACTACTGTAGTGTCTCCGAATAGCGTCCAAAAGTTTGCGCGGGGCAACAATCTGACCCAAAAACCCATCGATCAATGCTTTCACTACTCCAGCAAATCGTCACCTGGCTACTCTTCGTGGGCAGCCCGATTGACTTCTGCCCCATCCTGAGCAAGGCGCTGACGACGCCGGCAGACGCTGATAAGTGAGCAGGGTGCTTCGCCAACCCATCGCCGCCACCGGTACTGCCGGGAGAAAAGGTTCTCGTCAGGTTCATGGTCTGCGAGTTGGGAGAGCCCGGGGACATTGGGGAGCCCAGGGAGCTCACCGGCGACGCAAAGGACGCCGCAGCTGAAGCGTGGACCACGACAGATCTCCGACGAGATCGGGCGGGGGGGCTGCGAGACCCGGTGTTCCCCGTCCGCCCCCCCTGCCCCGTGTGCCGGCGCTTGCTAGTGTTGTTTTTGATGGCGGAGGTCTTTCGGATGTGCTCCTCGGGAGCGCCTGTGCCCGCGAGCAACTGTGTTCAGATATTCATCAAAGCGGAGGGAAGGGGGGGAGGGGACGCATGTATGTACGTACTGTCGCTGGCCGAAGGCTGCACCTCATTCACCTTGAATCGGGGGACGGGTCGCAGTGGTTGTGAGGCGAAGGCGGCGCCTTAATCGAGTCAGCATGCTGGTCAGGAGTTTTTTTAGAAATATTACTCGATGCACAGGCACTTGAGTACGGCAGTGTACTTAGGGCACGCTCGTCCGCGGCCCCATCTTTTCACTGATAGGAGCGAACAAGATCATTTTCGTTGTAGCTTCGGTGCGCAGTAGAGTACCACACGGCGGTAGGAACGAAAGCAGAAATTATGCCATGGTTCACTTCACACCTGCAGATCTAGGTTGGTATCCTGCAGGCCACAGTATGCCAGGCGGAGCTCCAGAGCGATGGCATACTGCGTCATCACCGCACCGAAGGCCATCATTATCATCAGCCACTCCCCGCCGTCTCTGGACGCCCCTACAGACCACCCCAGGCCAACTCGCCCAAGGCCGTCCCCCGTGTACTCGAAGGTGATGGCGATAGTTTTCCCGACTGCTTGAACGCAGACGTGGCAATCGATCGAACCTCGTTGTACTTTCGGTGATTGATGGACATAGCACGAGATCGCGAATCGACACATATGTTCGCGAATGTTTCCTGATTTACAGGCAACCAACCCTGGACATTTACACGTCGGATTATGAGACAAGGACCACCCACAGATGCATTCTCAGAGGAGGCCTCACCAAAATTGTCATCGTTTACTTGACACGATGTACCATGTATATTCGGTACATAGTCTTGTACACGAGTAGGGAGTATGCCACAATCCCTTTAACACTGGAAGATTCAAAAGTATCATGAGGGTTTCGCATGGTTTGTGTCTGGTTACGCCCGTCAACAGTGTATTGCCCATGTCTACACTATTATTTTACCGAAGTTACCGGACCCTGGTCTCATAAGAGCAGGAAGTCATAACCTTCTCTCGGCGCGAACACGCGGCACTGACCTTCTAACAGAGAAAGCGAACTTACGAACTCAAGACCTCGTAGCTGTAAGGCAATCCTCGGACAAGGGGTCAGCTACTACTGCACATTGCACACACGTTGCAAAATTCCTCTATTACGACAGCACGAAGAATATAATGGCTGAAGCATTGTCCTCCTACATACTCTCTCCACGCCTGCCTACCGACGAGGGACAGGGAATAAACCTCACACCGGACCGTCGACAGCTGTGCTCGAGACTCACATAAGTCCGCCGACCACAAAGAGATGGCGAAGACCACCGAGCACAGCGGGCGAAGGTACTCATACGAAGGCTTCCAGACGAGCACTCGGAAGAGCAGCCAGCACGAAACGATGCTAGTTACCAGCAAGTAGAACGCCAGCACCACGATGCCCGACGTTCTCCAGACTACCATGAATTCTCCGGTAAGGCCAAGAACGTTCAATGCCCAGCACCCGAGAATTCCCATCGCCAGTATCGTTCCTGCAGCCACAATATGCTGCAGCTGCAAAAGGAAAGTCCACGAGAGTTTATTGTGAACTTGGGTGAACAAAGAACTCGCGGTGGTGCATGAATATGTTGTACAGCGGGGGCGGGGCGGGGGTAGGAGAGAGCATACATAACTGCGTTCTATGCTTGTTTCACTGGAAGACCTCATCGGCATTGACGTACGAAGACATTGGTTGATGTCCTGTGGTGAAAAACCGGGGGGAACTCAAATTGCGGGAATACACTTGAATCTTCAGTCCAACGCTAAATAAATGCAGATTATCATAAAAACGAATGGAGCTGCTGCAGTCTTGTCCGGGTTGCGGCTACTTTGCGTTATTTGTAGTACAGATTTCAGCCTGGGGCGCTTATTACGCCGGTGAGCATGAAATAGTCTTGTCGCGGTAATACGAATGCATATTTCTGATACTTGAGCAGAGTGAACCCCTTGCAATTCACTGCAAGGAGTATTTGCAGGGATACAACCCGTGGATTTCCTTGTCAGTACCGTGAACCAAGCCGCATAAAATTAAGGAGAATCTCTATTACTGTCCGCACGGGAAATGGGTATGTGACACCGTTCTGGTGGCGAGGCAGAAACTTGCAGAATCGGTTGGAGGCTGCCGTGTATGACAGAAGATCGACATAGAGTCACGCGATGGGGTTGAGGCTTGCATGGACTCTCCCGCCACATACAATACCCCAATGCTGTTGCGAGACTTAACGATGAATGGTGCAGATTATTATCTGCACGTCAACTAGGGAAGAAAAAACCTTGTTATCCACGCCGTTTTTGTCTAGGTCTACGTAGTTTCTTCGTCGCAGTGAAGTCGAACGCACCTGCCCCAAGTATGCCGCCTTCTTTCCCAAGCCTTTCTTTAGTTTGAGCTCGGCTATCGTGTGCCGCTGTGCGTTGAGTTTTCAGGAGGGACGGGCAGCGTGCGAGAGCAAGAGATGTGCGAGGTGCAAGGGAAACCGGGTGCAGGGGATGGAGAGACGAGTACTATAGGGAAGAGAACTGGCGCTAGCACAAGCGGAGATAGATCGGACTGTAAGACAGACAGATGATACACGGAAGAATCATGTCCAAATACAAGATTCATACCACAACACTAGGCGTGTCTGTTGCCTTGGGGGGTGAATCCCTAGGGCACATGGGTACGCCCCCTTCCGCCTGTCACCCCAAGCGAGGAGGCTTAACAATGTACAGTCAGTCGTGGAGGGTACAGAAGCGGGTACACCGGGAGCAGAAACACCCCACCTTGAGGATAACCTCTTTTAGCCGCTCCACCCTGTCAACCCCGCCAAAGGTATCCTTTCTCGCGACGTACAGCATCGCGAACATGGTGGTGATACCCGTGACGGCAGCGAGGCACGTGCACAGCACGTTCCCTCCGAGCTCGATCTGATTACCACGGTTTGCAGTGAGGTGGGCGGAAAAGGACAGGCAGCAAACGGATGCACCGTTTCATTATTTGGTATTGTGGCCATCATCTTCACCAGGCTCTATCATTTTCGTGGTGGACCATCTTTCCTACTACAGTACATGAAATACCAGAAGCAGCGCCTTCGATGATTTTTCATCCCTGACACGTCCCCGAAGCTCACCACGCCACGAGTTGTTCAGTGTATCAATCGAGCAAGGCCAGAGGGAGAGAGAAGAGGCCGGGTGCAAACGAATTTGAATAGCGTGGTTGGCACGCGTCCAGGACAAGATTTTCACTCAAAAGCAGGGAAGAGAAACATGATCCAAAACGAAAGGTTGAGCCACGATACGCAAGACGTACGCCAAAAACACAGCTAAATAGATGTTGTCCATGACGCGGGGAAAATACCCATAGTCGTCGTCATACAAGCTCGATCGAAAGACGACCACGTACGTTCACAAACGCTTCTTCTCTGCGTGATGCGTGCTGCGTCCAGACTGTGGAAATAAGGTTTGAGGTTTGTGGAGCAATGCCAGTGACCAACGATTGGGTTCCTGTTTTGAAATACATGAGCGGGGGGCATCGAAAAATGATAGACTCTCTCTTTGCGTGGAAGCGACCACCAGATGGAAAAGCCTGATCCGGAACTATGGTCTATGGCAAACAATGATTCATATTTGAACAAGACCAAAACACCAAGACAGAAAGAATGGGGGAGTAAAACAATCCACGGAATTGAAGAGGGGGTAACTAACCTCGCCGTCCAGACGTAGCGAAGAGAGGGCCACCTGATGGACCGTAGTGATACCACCAATTCCCATCGCGACAGCCGCCGAGAGAATCGGGGTGCGGAGGTGCATCACTGCTACCGCCTCGTGTTCGTCTCCCCATTCCTACACACGACAACAACGAAAGCAAATTATTGGGCGGCCGAAATCGAAAGCAAAATGTTGGGCGGCCAAAATCGGGTGGGATTGCTGATTTGTACTGGTCGGTTTCTGTGATTGATTTGCGTTCGATATTTTCGCTGCGAAGTAGTACTCCGTTTGACAGAGTCGCGGTTCCAGAGGCCTTATTGTTGTGATTGGTTTATTGTGGCGTCAATGCTACGGCGAGCAAGGCAAAGCAATCGTTCGTCGACTTTCGCAAACACCGAAGTAATGTCTTGTAACTGGACAGAAAGCCTAGCTTGCGATGACGGGTTCGAAATTCCATGTCACCACCATCACTGCGCGAAACTACTCTTGGTGGCCGCGTGATCGCCACACAAACAATTTTTCAGGAGGGACAAAGAAGGGGCGCACCGGGGGAGTCAAGAGACATTATAGTTGCAATGCATTGGGTTGTGTCCACGGGCAGTAGACTGCCAATGACCATGACGAGGTGAACGACTCCAGCAACAGCGCACTCGGCACAATGGTCACAGGTGTCAAAGACCCACTTGGCACACGCCCACCAACCTTCATCCACCGCTCGTGGTCCAGTATGCTGATAAGCGTGTAGGATGACAGCAGCGAGCATGCCGCTGCGTTCAGGGCCGGAGTGACGTACACCCCCTGGCTAATTTCGCCCATGATCTGCTGCGCTTGGTCTCGCCGTGATATCCTCCCCCTCTCCCAACGCAGTTAATATTCTGGATTGGCGCCCGCTTCAGAAAGTTGGCCGCGTTACAGGGCAAGCGAGAAAGTTCAGGTGATGCGGAATTATCGAGGCTTGAGTTTGGAAGACAACGAGTGTCGTGCCCCTTTTCAGAACGGCTACGTTAAGTGACGAACGTCATCCGTTTCACTGGGTTGGGGGGGCAAGGCTGATGCAGGCTGTTGCAGACGAAATCATGTACAAGAGGCACGTGGGATGGCCGGTACGAAACGCTTGAGAGCATGAGGCGCCGCCTTCAGTTCGATAGATAGGGGCAACGGCTCCGGAGACAATGCAGGTCGAGAGGGATAAAAGGGTGAGGCAGCTCAATCGATAGGATAGCACGTGCACCTGTGTTGGTGGAGTCTTCGTGTTGACGGACAACGTACACGGAGATGTCAGGTAGCCTACGTAGCGTGGGGTTGGATAGTCGGAGTTATTCCATTGACTTTGGTGACTCTCGACGTGACTATCGACGTTGATGACTGTTTTCCAGAAATCCATATTGATGTGTGGTATGTGTGTACTGTAGGTAAAATCCAATACCATTGTTTATCTTGCACCGCACCGTCGACGGTTGCATGCGTTTGAGAGAGCACGTAAGAGAAGCCAGGCGGCAGTTCATCTCGGCACATCCATGATGACTCGTGGTGGCTACAATTCCCAATGCTCCTTATCAGCGTTTCCCCCTGTAGAAACACCACCCAATAGCCGCTACCAAAGAGGTGTGACTCGGACCTGAACGAACGAAGGAGCACCAACAACCCAAATCTGGGGCCATCACGATGTTCTTTTACATCCTGGACTACATTATTATTGTCATCTTCCGATAGACGTGAAGAATTGTGTCGTTTTGTGAGGCAAGACCTCAGGCATACTGTATGTAGTCTCACACTGCTGTGAGGCCATGGAAGTGTTTAATATATTTCCGAGCCTGAACCCGACGGGGAAGTGGGACCTCTCGATCAATTTCCTCTCGCCTGGCTACCAATTTACATAGACAGGTTGAAGCTAAAACGCCCTCTGGTATTTAATGCTGCTGTTGACGCCGAACCGATAGGATTTGTTTGTCTGTGCTGTCAGCTGTACATGGAGAGGGAGGTGCACAGCAGTAGTTGAAGAAGCACAGTCGACTCTGTCACATAGTATGTGCTCGCCAGAGGGCGCATACACATGTACACTATTCTCGACATGATTTAGACTACTATTGCACGTTCGCTCAGCAAACGGAGTCAATCATAGCAACAGTTGACACGTGTGAATAAAAAGGTGGGGTGAATGACGGCAAGGTCAACCAAGAGACTACGGGCAAGACATCAGCCCGAGATGGACGGACGCACCTTGCCCTTGCCGACCGCCCAACTTGACCTTCACGTCACCACATGCAGCCGTGAGTGAACCAAATGATGCCGACCGTCGTTGAGGCTGGTTGCCGTCCAAAATAATTAGCGTAGGAGAAGCACCCGAAGCAGGAAGCAGGGCACGGCCGAGAGTGTTCGTCTCATGACACACCGCAGCAGCTACCACAACCTCTCACGAAAAGAGTCGAGGTCGAATCTAGTCTCTTCTCGCCGGCAGACCTACTTACGCCTTGGGCACCGTTTTGTCGCCCCCGCTCCGTTAGCGGCGGGGTGTCACCGCCTGATCGCGACAACTTTTGTTTTGGGGTCCTTGGTCTTCCTGCTGATTTCCCAGAGAAACGCTTGGTGTCAGGGGCCATTTTCTTTAGCAGCGGGAACGAAGGGCGCGCCTCTGGTCCTGGTCACACCCACCGAGGGCCGTTTTTCGCCGAACAGAAGGGTAGTTTACTCTGTGGGTAGTGTGGTTGGATCCGTTTTGGATATTTTTCTTCTCTTCTGTCTGCTGTGCTTGTCCAAAGTCAATGTTTGGCCGCCCCGCGCGGGCTTACCCCCCCCCCCCCCTTGGAAAACCCGAACCCCCCCCTCTCCAATGGTTGAATGTTGAGGAATACATTGCTGATGCCATTCATGCCCGCCCGCCCGACGTTTTTAGAAAGTAAACACACCGCTGTATTACGGCACTACAGCACTACAGCCCGACTCAAGCAGCAGAAGCTGCGGCCGATACAGACTCGCCCCGCCGTTTGGCCGCAGCAGAACGTAAAAGGCCACGGGAAGAGGGAAGCGTGATATCATAGCTGGTGTGTCGCATCGGAAGGGGTGGGCGTTGCGGTCTGTGGGTTTGTGGAAACCGGCTCGTGGAAAGTTCCTCGGCTTCAACCAACCACCCTTTGTCGGGAAGACGCGGAGAGTGGGCACGGAGACAAGCAGGGCATAGGGGAGAGCCGGCGCAAACGGAGAGCCGGCACAATTGACCCCGGCACACGGAGGAGGGGATCAAGATGGTGCCCGAGGCCGCACACCTGCCGGCAGCATCCCAGCGGCTGGCCTCCCTAAAGGTGAGGGCTGCTACTGCTGGTGTACACCGGCAACTACCTTTGTTTGTGATGATGAGGCGAGGGTTGTTTCGGTTGGACAGCATCCCGAGAAAAGCGTGCGCGTGCGTCGTCGTCACCCTTTCGCCCAGGGAAGAAGTTGGGGTGCGACGTTGGTGGCTCCTCTCCTGGTTGTGCTTCTTCTGCCCCTTGTAGGCGAGACAGCAGCACCGCGACGGCACGCTACATGCCGCGCCGGCGCCCGCCTTTTACTCCGCGAATTCCTGGATTTGTTGTCGTTGGCGATGTGCGGACAATCATCATGACTGGTTCTTTGTCTGGCGTCTTTATTAATAATACCACAGAACAAGACTTTTGGTGTTTGCAACGCATGTACGACGGGTGTGGGGTGGTGTGCACCGTTCTGCTGTGCTCGTTGTATCCAATGTGCGAGAGTGCCTGACTGCTGATGAGGATCCAGGCGTATGCCAATAACCAGTCCAGTACACACAGCAGCAGTTGCAAAGGAGACCCTTTGTACCTGCTTTCCTAATTTACCCAGCAAATTTCTCCAGTCCGTTGTGTTGTTGCGAGACAACGGTCCGTGCTTCTGACTCGCCGCCAAACTGCAACGTGTGGTACCGCACCAACACTTCTGATTCAACGATATATCCGTTTGAGCAGGTAGTCCTTGTCGGTAGCAAACCCCTGAGACGCTACCCACTACATGAAGTAGGGCACCCTGGGGGTTTACGATTTTTGCCGTGCTCATGATCTTGCTCCCCCCAGCAGCCCTACGATGCAGATTGCCTCTGTACTACATACATACATACATACATACATACATACATACATACATACATACATACGACATATACCCAATGCTTTGTATGCGCGCATATGCGTGAGTAGATGTCCACGCTCCAAATGCATGCATACAGAGCAGATCCGTAGTGCAACGTTTTCGAGGCTACTACCGCAATACAAGCACGGCTTGCTTGGATGCCGGCGATTGTTTTGACCATGTGCCATGCCCACACAACTCTAATAGAACGAGCCGACGACCCCGTGCGTTACATGTTTGCCCGCTAGAACACCGCGGCCCCCCTCAATGAGCCAATGGAACCAAAGGTTGTACTTCCATACACATGGTCATCGTCTCTACATACCTAGACTACGGTACAAGTTCCCATACACAGCATTTGTCGAAGGTGTGTTCGTTAGCCGGCTGCTTTCTCAGTGTCAGTGCTTACTCTCCAGACCCCCAACACCTACAAGCAATAGTCTACATTCCTTGGGACGGCGGGGTATTTTGTCCAACGGGTAGCTCCAGCTGCTGTACATCGTGGGTAGGTCTTTCTTCTCAAATGATGTGTATACCATCGTATGCCGACCATCAAGAGGGTGCAAAACAGAAACAACGAGTGTGTTCATGTTTAGATATGTAGACTAGTTCAGCTGCGCACATGTCGTGTAAGCACAGCATGGCAATACCATGTGCTGGCAATGTCGGAGGAGAGGGAAGGGAGAAATCTTATGGTAGTTGATAGCACCCGCACTTGCATTTGAGAAATGTATATCGTAAGCATATTTTCTCTAATAAAATGCATGCTCAGTATGTACTCCCCAAACGTGAACAATACAAACCTGAACGCCCAGCACAATTATATATATTTATTCTTTGTACAACATTATATGAAAGCGCACTTGCTGTACAAGCTTGAACTCCCCTCCACTGAAACCTACTTCTTCATATTTGCGGCCGTTTGTAGCTAACCTCCGCCAAAACGAGAGGCGCTCTTGAGCATCGCCGCTACAACAACAGTAACTGCTGTGCCCCGGAGCATCCGTAGAAGTATGCGTACAGGGCGCCAACGAACTTGTAGCGCGCGGAGATGTATAGCGCAATACGTCTCAGATTTGGTTTCCGTTACCCGCTCACCAAGCACCAAGAGGGGAAAACGTCAATCGCGGGTTGCATTTGATGAAACATTCGCGAGGACGGAAGGTTGCTTGCTATACGGTCGTCGTCATCACAGAAGCAGTTTGTCGTTATTTTTTTGTACTTCTGGGCAAGGGTCCGCGGAGGTGCAGCATAAGAATGTAGGACCTACGGATGGAAGATTGGACGGAAACACAGGTTATGAACAAAGAGAGAGTAGTTGTATGCATACTGGCGTTGATTCTGTGGGTTTTCTGGATTCCTAGCATACATTATCGCGCTTTGAGCGGGGAGCGTGTTGGAAAGTAGTCGGTGTGTTTCGAGTTTGTTTGTTGTCGTGGGTATTTTTAGGTTTCAGGTTTAGGGACTTTTTAATTGCGAAGACAAGAACAATAGGATTGGGGCGGAACAGTAGGAGCAACTTTAAAATCCGACGCAACTGCAAGACACTATTTATTTGCCGTTTGCATTTTGTCCATCTGTGATTACTCGAATCAGAAGGATCAGCGACCTAGGCATAGCGAATTGAACATCACTTGTTCATGCTTCATCGCGCCCCCTCTGGGTTGGTAAGACCCTGAACATAGAACGCAACGTGCGAAAATCGAAGAGATTGTGAAGTCGTGGCATGGGCGAGAAGGCCGATTGCGTACAAGCAGAACGCGTACTACTACTGCTGTTTTCATGTGTCTAGCCTCATGAGGTCTTCTGTGAGGAGAATTTACAACCGCGTTCGCAGCGTGACTTGAACGCTCGTTTTTTTTCGTCCCATCCCTGTTCAGGGGGAGGCAGCGCCAACGGCGGTGAATGTCGTAGCTCCCACCACGGCTGCAACGAAGAAGGCAGCAGCATCGGCGTCCAGCCGAAGAAGGACACGCGAAGACGACGGGGGCAACAGTGCCGGCGAAAACGTTTCCGGCGAAAACGTTTCCGGCGACGCAGGTCAGTGCCAAAGGCGACAACAACGCCTATTGTACGGACGAGATTTGTTGGCTGGGGGGGGGTGGCGATGAGCGACCGCTACATAGTGTAGCGCACTTTTTGTGTTCCCTGCCGACTTTGACGGCCTCGACCACGCGCCACGGCAAGAGGAGGAAGCAATCGAAGGAGAGAGAGAGGGATAGCGACACGGAAGGGGGCGGAGAGGGAGGGCTGCTACCGCCTTTGCCATCTGAAACGTGTAGGTAATTTCGCCCGAGACTTCTTTATAGTTAGTTTTCTTTCAGAACTTTTCAACTCTCGTCCGTCGTCGTTTTTTTTTGTTTTGTTTGGGCTTCTAGGGGAGAGAGAGCGGCCACAGCAGCAGCAGCAGCAGCAGCAGCAGCAGCAGCAGAAAGAAGCGGGAGGTAGAGAAGGGGCGACGCCGACAACAGCAGCCGCCGAGCCACCGCTACCGCCGCCATCGATGCAACACGTCGGCGCCGCCGGGGGGAATAACGGCGGCAGCGGCGGCAGGGGCGGCGGCGAGAGTCGGGTAGGGAGCGGAGCGGAAGATCGCTTCTCTTCTTCGGCGAGCTTTGGCAGCGTGACGCAAACCAAGCCGGTGGGGACGGGCACCTCCACCTGGAAGGGATCATTCGTGAAGGTAGGCGCAAAAGAATACGAGACCTGGTACTGTAAGACAACCACGACGAAATGTTGAGCGACGTTACACTTGTGGCAGGCGGGACCCCGGGTATCCCACGGAGTACTCGTTGCCGTGCATGCCGTAGTCGTTAGACCATTCCCTTCAAAAGCCTGGACGGAGCACGCCGGATTTTCACCGGACCAGGCGATCACATTACCAAGCGCGAAGCGTCGTGAGGTATTATTCGGCGAATCGCATGGATGGTGCGCTGCATCCTGCGACGGGTGATCGGCACCTTGTGCTTTCTTGCATTGCGTCAGGGGCGCGCAAACAAACACGCAGCAGAGTGACAATGTAGAAGAAAGACGGCTGATTGTACTTATCAGCCGAGGATCAGGTTGCCGTTTAGGGTGCACGAATGGGGGGTGCACGCGCCATGGCTGTACAGCCGTATACCATTGTTTACGGGGTTTGGTTTGGGGCAGTCGCGTGGTTGTGGCATTGGTCGTACGGCCGCGGCCGAGGAGTGAATTTTCTTAAGGGGCTAGAAACGCCCGACAGGCGATGGGGCTACTACCGCTGTTGCTGTTGTTGGCATGGGAGAGGACCTGTGGTGGCGCGTGAAGGCGCCGCTGTTTCTGTCTGTTTGGGCAGCCGGCGGGCTCACAGCAGTTGCCGCTGCTGACGCTAGCTTTGAGCAGCCGCATTTTAAACTTGTGCTCCGGAAATTATTTGTAACTCGAACCGCTGGTTGTGTCGCTGCTTTCTTGGCATCATACGTATGAGTGAGCTTGAACGGTGCGCCTTACCCTCGTCGCCCTCGCCGCTTTGCTCGCGATGGATTGTCTATAGGGGAGCCGCTGCTGTTGCAGCTGCGTGCCTCTGTCGCGAAGAGGCAGCAGCGCCGACGCTAGGGTAAGCTCCGGACAGGCAGGGGCTCCCGAGACGTTCGACGGCGAGAGCGACGGCTGGGTAAAGCCGCAAGAGCCGACGGAAAAGGGCAAGGGCAAGGGCGGCTTCCGTCCGCGCCATCGGAGGGGACACTCAACGGGTACGGGGACCAGCACGTTTTTTTTGTCAAACAAGAGCCAGTTCATAAACGTAGGTTACAGGGACGGTAAGAACAAAGAGTCCATTTTCCTACGAAAACAACTCCAGCGGTCCCCACCTCAATCTCCGTCCGTCGCCTCTTTCTCAACAGGACACATCGCGCACGGCACAAACCCCTCAGCAAGAGCTGCGCGCATCACCCAGCCTCAAGGCTGGGAGGCCGGCGGCGGCGGCAGCAGTGCCACGACATCCACAACGTCATCGACCGGCAGCACCGCTCTGGCCGTGGCGGCGGCAAGCGGCGGCGGCGAAGGGGGCCGGGAGACGGTCCTGTCGTGGGGGAGGAGGTCGGGTTCTTGGGGCGCCGGAGGGGTTGCTGCTGCGGACCGGGAGTTCAACCGCATCTTGAAGTCCGGGGTCGATGTGTTCAAGCATTGCTGTAAGTTGTTATGTGTCGTGCTTGGCATCGCGGGTGTTGGCGTTCAATCGAAGCTGTAGGCGGTATCGTACTTGGTATTGTGGGTGTTTTGTGTCGTCGCTGCTGCTGCTGCTGCTGCTGCTGCTGCTGCTGCTGCTGCTGCTGTTCCTGCTGCTATTGTGTCCCGATGTCGGGACGATGGAAGCTTTTCCTGTCGGTTGTGGTGGCTTGCGAGGCTTCTGTAGACTGCCTTGTTTTCTTCTGTTGACGTATCAACCCTGTCCAGTGTATCGCACGCACGTACGCAGCGTCAATTTCAAGTAGGCAGTTGGAAAGTCGTCGCACGGTCCCTTGCGCAATTCTTGGCGCGCTTAGCACAGGAACCAAAGGCGGGACCCGGAATGTTTGGTTGACTCGGGTGGCTTTTTAGTGCCAGGTTTCGCCGAACATACCGAGAACCATGTAGGATAGTTCTTTCCGGTCCACGAATGGATGTGGAAGGTGGGGCTTACATGCCATCGTTTCCAGGGCCGAACCGGTTTTCTTGCAGAATGGAGAACGTTGCCTACACCTGTAAGGAGACACCATCGCAGATGACGGGTCGATAACATTTGTTCCGCGAACATATAGAGTCAGATCGTCCGCCGTGTAGTCACGCAAGCTACTGTTGCTCACCGCATTATTTTCATTCCTGCCGTTCTTCGTGCGGGCACATTCTCCGACGGTTTGGTCGCGACAGCAACGCGGGAGTCAACCCAGCAGTGGGTGGACGTGGTGCCGAAACGAATCAAGGAGTTCTTGTCCAGGAGCTGTCCGCTGGAGGACGAAAATGAAGGTATGTGTTTCTCATGTACTCATTTTTTCGTTCTACGCGTATGATATATAACCGCAATGGCAAATTTTTGTCATTTGCGACAAGTTTTGGAACGGGAAGGAGTATGTTTTTTTCAAAACCCACATTCGGTTAGCTTTTTCTCCTCTCCGTTCTCGTCGCCGATGACCCTCCCTTTCTTGCCTTGTCATTGTTTCTTGTTGCCTTCTTGGCTTTTGCAGGCCTGGTGACGCTGTTCCTGGACAAGGAGCGGGAGAACTTGTGCTGGTGCCCCCCCGGCGCGGCGGAACTTGTGCCGGATGAGCGGTACTCCCTGAGCGTCCGCTCCCTCGTCGAGGTGCGCCTAGATGGGAGGAGGGCCCAGAACAACCGACTCGCAGCTCAGGCGGGACACGCCACTCGAAAGCGTTGTTATTGTCGTCGCGGCCTTATGTATTGGAGCGTTGTTTCAGTCGCCAATCATGACCCCACCCCCGCCCTCGGCGCGGTAGAATGGCCAGCCTTCTGAGCGGAAAACGCCTCAATGCTCTATGTCTCGGGGTTCGGAAGAAAGCGAAGGGTCCACTGAGACTTGCCAGACTCTTTGCGGCCGCGATGTTCTGACGGGGCCCCACGAAAGCCCGATTTGCCTTCCTGCGTCGTCATTCCTCGTTCAACCAAACCATTGGTCGAGGGTCTGATGCGTAGCGCTGGCGTCATTGTCGTGGAAAATTGAAGCCAAATGGTCGTCCAGCGTCGTTAGTCCCTTTCCAAGCAAATCTTCCAACTGGTGCGATCGAGCTAACTGGTGCGTGCTCCCGGCTTAAAGCGGAATGGCCGCCTCGTCTCCACACGAGCAACACGGACAAAAAAATCAAAGCCCTCATACAAGCATTTTTTTTTTACCGTTATGTCATATTCTTGGCTGGTGCTGTTGTCCCAGCCGGGGCCCAGAGACGTGGACGAGCAGTATTTTTTCCCACTAGCAGCATGTTGAACGCCTAAGACTGTCCTTACGTATGCCATTTCTCTCCCCTCCCCTCCCCTTCTCTCCCAACGATGGCGTACGTCATCATGGGTGCGCCACTGCTCGTTAACCGCAGGTCGTCCCCGGAGACTCGGTCCACCCCCGTGTGCTCTCCCTTCGGTCCGCGGGCCGCGCGAACCCGCTGGTGTTCGAGCTCGACTCGGACGACCTCTACGACATCCTTTCGCAGGTAATGCAAAATAAGCATGCTGGGGTAGCGAGCAATCCTCGTGTGTTGGCACTGGGTACCCTTGTGTTCTTCGTGTCATGCAAACCTGAAAGGTGCCCCGCAATAATTGGTGGATGGATCGGGCAGGTGTCAAAATTATTTTACCCTTCCCGTTTTCCCACGTCATCTGGTTTGGTTCGTGCTGGCTTGAGTAAAGCTTAGCTTAGACCTTCCTTTTGTTGATGAGGAGGAAGGGATGATCGCGTAGGCACGGTCCCGCGTGCAAAGCTTAAGCCTGTCAACAACTTCTTTTTTTGCGCACCTGCTCACCTTGTGTGTGTTGACCCCGTCCCCATTCCCTGCCCCCCGCCCTACCGTGGATTGCGATCGTTCCCAGGGGATCGTGCGCATTCTGGAGAGAAACCATCTCCGCGACACGCTCATGGTCGACCCCAGAAACTTCGCAGCCATCTGATGGGCTCGCGAGAACGCGAGAACGGGCCTTTGGTTTCTGTCCGGACTTTTGTCGGTGACGCGGCGGACTGCCTCGGGTTGTAATGTCCTCTTGTCGATAGCTTTTTGTCGGGGAGGGGGGGGGAGGGGAGGGCGCGCTTGGAGGAAGGAGACTCTCTGGGGAGAAGGAGAGGAAGCTTTTCAATTATATCGGATCCGCCAACCCCTTGTTTCTCGCTGCCCCCGCTGCGGTTTCCCGGAAGACAAGAAAAACGCCCCCGTTTCTCTCAGGGCGTCTCGTTCCTTCTTCCTGCTGGAATGTAGGAACCCCGATGTATCTAATTCATATCTAGTGTTTTTAATTGTTCGTTTAGGTTTCTTTGTTCTGATGTCTTGTTTGTTTTTCTTTTTCTATGTTGCCGCCCACCCATCCTTTTTCGTGCTGCAATTGTTGGTGTTTTGTAGTGTTCGAGTTTGTGGCGCGTCTGCGCTTGTAGAGCTCGGTGTGGTAGGTTCTTGCGATAGGCAGGCCTGGCAGCGCAGTAGCTACCGACGGCACACATTACCGCTGCTGCTACTTGCTTGTGGTATCCGGCGCCATACTTTGGGTCTCGCACCTGGGTCGCTGGCCGGGGGGCTGGCCGCTGATGTTTTTCACTCGTTCGTGTTCTCGTTCTTCGTTCGTGTTTGGTTCGTTGAATGCAGTAGGTAAAAAAAAACAAAAACACACGGGTTCCGCTAGAGCGGCTTTTCTTCGACACACATCCTCCCGTGCGACGACGCGCTTGTTCGGCGTGGTAGGACTAGCCTTTGTTCACGCACTTTCCACCGGTCTGCTGTGTTCACAATGACCAACACGATGCGGGGGGCGGGGGGCGCGCGTGCTAGAGTATGAGTAGACCCCACACTACACACGCGTATGGTGTGCATTGGATGTGTCTCACACATCCGCTGTTTTGTTTGTTTTTCGTATCGTTTGCTGTTCGGTGTTTATTTCAGTCCCTTGTCCACTTTTTGTTATTTTTTTGGCGCCGATTATGTTCCTGGTGGTTTCATTTGTCCATCTCTTGTCTGGGTTTCCATCCAATCCACACCGTGCGTCTGTCCGTGGCATGTCGAAGCACTCGTACGTTGTTTTACAAGATCTTACCGTAGTTGTCCGATGAACAAGAGGAAGGGGTGGAAATCAATTGCTTGGATACAGCTATGCATACTGCTTCTGTTTGTGTGGTTGTGGAGACGGTGATGGAGGCGTGGTAGCTAGCGTGTTTACGGCAGAAGTTGGTGGTTTGTGTTGGTCGCGTTTGGGCTTTGGTCGTGTCGTTGTCCACTCTTGGTGGGTTGGTGGTTTCTTGGTGGTGGTGGTGATGGTGGTGGTGGTGATGGTGGTGGAGGTGGTGGTGGTGTGGTGCGTGCGAAGAGCCGCAGGGTCGCCGCTCAAGGGCACGGTGCATTCTGCGCAACAGTCAAGATGCCATGGATCTAGCCAAAGCGTGGATCGGCGAAACAGACCGAAATGCCTTGAAAGAGTAGTGGTTACGGCAATGTAGTGGGACGGGGCAACGGGCAACCGGTGGTGGCTGCCCCGTGTCCATACTCCAGTAGAACGAGCACGATCTCTCGGCCTTTGGTTGGGTGAAGAGTGAAAAAGTCAGCCTGAAGCGAGCGCTGGCTGTACGATACGATCGTAAGCTATAGTCTAGGCGTTGATATGGCATGAACGCGTTGTGTTTCATTGGCCCTGTTATTCGGTGCGCCGGCCTGTTGGTCAGAAGCTCGGCCTCGTAGGCACTCGTTGACGATTGGTTTGGCGCGTATCGTGTTGGGCCGTTGAGTCTTCTCGGTACCAAAGAAGCCGCCAGTCTTCCTCGTATCCGGTACCTTTTATCTCGTTCCCACTCTTGGGAGAAAGACGGATTTCTGGGGCCTGCGGAGATCCAAACCAACGGATATATTCGTTGGCCGTGATCGTTATTGCCTTGTCGGTCATCTTACTGCTGTTGAGATGGTAATGATGAAGAGGAGCGGGGATTATTGGTTTGTGAGTAAGCATCCACATCAGCAAAACTCGCTCGTAGTGAGCGGCATCGGATGGTCATCTTTCACTCTCTTCAACGGACAAGGGGTGCTCGCGTGTCTTGTCTGTTTCGTCCCGCCTCCCCGCACTCTAGTCTGCCGTAGGTATCTGGCAATGTCACCGAACTTGCCTGCGTGGCCTGTCGTTTGCACCGTTTCGTTTGCCATATGGCGCGATCATGTTGATGAAGATAAGTACGCACGGTATGTGGCCGGGGTGACCTCTTCACGGTGATGCTGTCGGAAATTCAAAGCCAACATAGATGTGGGGATCAACATCAACACTAAATAGCATTTTTTTACGCAAGCATATTGACAGTAGTGTCGCCGGCGCAATGGGTGGATGAAGTAAGCATGACGTCGCGTATACGTACATGCACGCTATTGATGCTGCTTTTCGATTGAGGGCATGGCCCCCTAAAACAAGAAAACTTGAGAAAGTGGACGGAGGCAGAGAATTTCAACCAGGCATGACAAAAGACATGGGAAAGAAGCAACGGCGCTCATTTTTTCTCATTCAATGTTCCTCAACTGAGGAACATCTTGGAACGTGTATGAATTGACCTCTTGATCTCTGCCCGAGAGCCCATGGGATTGCCGGTCGCATTTAGTCTTCACGTTTCATCAACCTCTGATTGTTGTTGAGTATTATGTAGAATCTCGAATGTATTCCTCGTTGTTGGGATCTCAGAAAGCACCTACAAGTATTCTGGTGGCCACGACTTCAATTGACTCTTTGTCCGGAGGGTGAGCCTCAGCGGGCGGCGGGGAAGGTCTTGAGAGAGAGAGAGGAGAGAAGGAAGGTGACAAAGCAGTCAGCAGTTGCACAGTAATGAAACAAATCCACCAGCGATTTCTCGGGCCAACATCGAACAGCATCCCAACCAACTGGTGGAAGGGACTGGTTCAGGGAGCGTTCCTCAAACAGCTCCAACATACGTAAAGTCCGAGCGGTGAGTCTGTACTTATGTACCAGGTATAGCCGCCCTCCAACTAGTGTACGTTGCATGTACGTACCTGCTCTTGTTCCGAAACTGCTCTTGTTACGAAACATGTATGTCGAGACGCGTCGACCCAGACGTCCCCATATATTGCCTCCTACCTTTCGCTACTTTTTCTACCTGCAGGATGCCAAGCAATCGGGGCCTGCAGCACCACCCCCAACGTCGCTAGCCATCACATAGGCATGGAAATCTGCGTGTTGTAAGGAGCGGGAGACAGCCCTTGGCCAATCAGAAATAAATGAGGGCGCGATATTCATTCAGAGGTGTTTTTTGTCTTAGCTGTGACCTGTCGTCAGCACTCGAACGAGTCAGCGTGGGTGGCCAGGTTTATTGTCTTCCAGTCGATATTCTTTCCTGGCGAGCAGATATGTAGATGCGGCGCAAATTTATTCCAATTCCGATGAATGTGCAGGCGGGGTCACGACGATGGACACAACGACCAACGACCGGATAGGGGTGCCGTAGATACTATACCCAACACGATTCGCCGCATCCGCCCACACCGCCCACGAGCATGTGCCACACATCGCCTTGGCATACGGCAACACGACGGATAGGTCAGCTACTTACGTGTAAAGTAGTCCAGGCCCTTCCTGCCTTGGTTGTTGCACAAAGAGAACGCGAATGAACGAATGAATGCCTGCTTTTGTTTTCCCCCGCAACTCTCTCTTTGTACGTGTTTTCTCGTGTCATCTACGAAGGCTGCACTTGCCCCGTCGGAGAGTACGCGCTGTTTGCTGCCTGACGAGCACGCAATAAGGAATTCTCAGCACAGACCGGAAATTTATTTCGGCCCCAAACCGGAGGGTGTTGCCACACACTTCGCGCCCGCCGCATAAGGTGCGTGCGTGGTGTATTATTATGTGGAGATGTCGAGCCTTCGGATCATGGTACAGCAGATGATGCAGCGCTTCCATCATATTTCGTTGGGGTTAGGGATCAGCAAAGCTGCGCGATCCTTGCGCGTTGCGGTTTGGTCATCCCACTGTGATCCGTTTCTGTCCAGCTCAACTCATCTCAGCTTCACCTACAGGTTCTCTAACTTGTCTTGTTGGTGCCAGGCGGCACCTGGGACGAAGTTTTCTACTTGAAGTAGTCTATCCACTGCTGTATTTCAGTTGGTATCTTTTTCCGAATATGGTGATCTCCATGTCGGAACAACGCTGGAGGCACTTAACCTTTTCTCATAAAGCTTGCCGGTGAGACGTGTGAACCACGCTTGCTGCTTTCCGGTCGCTAGACTGCGCGATGATCTAAGAGCTTCCAATACCCGAGGTCCTACGAGCACCGTAACGGGGACATATTGAAGTGGTTAGTGAAGGCGACAAAAATTGGCGAGGTCTAGCCACACGACCTTGGAGAAGTCGAAGCTACGCAACGTGCAATTTGCTCGGACAACCTTCTCGTGATTTGGATGGACAAAGCATCCAGGCATGGACAACGGCCAGGCAGTGGAATGTGGTGTGCCATGCGCCTTCTGACACCTGTTATTTTTTGCCCACAGGCTGGCGGGAAACATGTTCAAGAAACCGCTTGTCGCCCTACCCCATTTCTCTGGTCGTGTGCACGTGGGTGCGTGAATGATTGTGTGCTTGATGTTAACAGGGTATATCCCCAAGGAACTGGGAGCTCTCTGCCGGCTGAGGACGCTTTAGCTCGCCAAGAATCGGTTCGAAGGTGGGCTACGTTGACCTCGTAATCTCTGTTCCCGACTTTTGTGTTCAACGAGTATCACAAATACACCTGTTACATGCTTGGAAGTATCACGTTGGATTGGGTGGGCGGGAGGTTGGATTGGGTGGGTGGGAATGGTGGGCCCGTGGGTCCGCGGGTCCTTGGGTTGCACAATATGCCGATGCTATTTGGAAATGTTAGGGTAAGAGGTTGAAGAACCACATAACAAAAATGTCCCTGAATCCAACTTCTGTTACCCCCTGTATTTCTAGAATGTCCGTTTCAACGACTTGAGTGGAGTGCAAGGAGAGTTTGGGTCGTTCAATCCCAAGGTTGTTTTCATTTTCTTCGTTCGCGTCTTGGACAGGCACGATACCGGAAGAGCTCGGAAATCTGTCCGGGCTGGTCGTACTTGACCTGAGAGGAAACGAACTGAGCGGTGAGGGAAGCGCCAAAGCACCACATTTGCTGTTACATTGTTCCAGAACTGGTGGGGAAACATATCTTCCCTGTATCTTCCGGTCATTCAGGTTCGATGCCCGTTTTCACTATGCGATTCTGCAGGCAGCGTTTCCGTGCAGTTTGGAGCCCTGACTACGCTGGAGGAACTTCACCTTTCCTCCAATATTCTGACGTGTAAGAGGCGTAGATCACGTTTTACGCTTTTCGATCGCTAGACAGCCAGCTGCTCGGAGCTCCCAGCACCTGCAGGCGTGGACATGCAGAACGTGATTTGTCAGCGGGATTCACTCACAAAATTGTCACGGAAATCGAAGCTGCCCAAACTTGTGGTGTTTACCTGTTTACAGCACTCACGCCTGCGACACTTTCAGGTACTGGAATACCGTGCGTTACGCGCCTATTGAACACCCGTTTTTTCCACAGGTTGGCGGCTACATGCTCCGCAAACCGTTTTGCTGCCTCACTCCGCTTCTTCTCTCATCGTATGTACGTGTAATAGTTGTGATCGTGTACGTGATGCCCAGGGCCTATCCCGAAGGAGCTGGAAACTCTCAGCAAGCTCAGGACGCTTGAACTCGCTAACAATCGGCTCACAGGTGAGGTCGTTACGTGACGTACTTACTATTCATGCTCATCCCCGACTTGGGGTTTCACTCCCCGTCTGTCTCTAGTTGTGTCTGCCGTACTGACGCGAGCGCGATTCCACGCGAGTTGTCGTTCGGGTATTTCCCTCGTAGCGTTGATGAGCATGTGGATGCTGATCAAGCAATATGCATGGCATGAGCCGGGAAGGGTGCGACGTGTCCCCCTTTGCTGCGCAACGGCGGTACTCCTAATACAGAACGGCCATGTTCCGAGGCTTGGACGATGGTCTTGAGGTGCAATATCGATGTCACTGAGTATTTCTGGCCGATGCAACGTGAACTCTTCGCTTTTACGGTCTTGCAGACAGCCCCGGAGATACCGCGGAAAGGTTAGTCGAAGTATCCGCGAACACGCTGATCAACTTAAGCGGGAACCGATGGGAGATCCCCCGGTTGGGGGTCACCCAAGGCGGTTGGGAACAGGTTGTCAGGTACTACGACGAGCTGGCCCAGTCCGGGGGCGTTGTGGTGACGGGTCTGAAGGTTGTGCTCGTGGGTGCGGTTCATGCTGGCAAGACAACCCTGGCCCGGGGCCTCCTAGAAGGAGATGTACCTCAAACGCCTCCGCCTAGAACCAGGGGCGTCGATGTGCATGTTCACCCTTGGGTACCTGACTTCAACCCGGCGCTTGACGTCATGATCTGGGATTTCGCTGGGCATGATGCCTACTGCTCGGCGCATCATGTTAGTTTATGAGATTAATGTGTTCTACCTTTGCCGTGCCGGAGTCTGTGCTTTTGGCACGTCAGTTTCATCCGAGCATTGCGGGGTGCAAGGATGTGAGATTGATTGTGTCTCGGGACAAGTTGCGGGCGTCGTAAAAATATTACGCGTTGTTGGATAGTTGAACCTCGTGCGTATCACAAACGCCATTCCGTTGACCCCCTCTGATCCCTCCCGCTTTCGTTCCCCGGCAGCTGTTTCTCGCCGTCGGGGCACTGCACCTGCTCGTGGGGGACCTCCACATGTTTAGCCAAGATCCTTTGTCGAAGAAGAACGCGGTGTACATGTGGCTGGATTCGTTGCTCTGTCGGGTGCCAGGGAGCGCTGTTCTCGTCGTGGCAACGCGCGCGGATGCCTTCGTTGACAACAGCGAGGGAGCCTCTACCCTAGAAAGCCCGGAAGAAGCGATCAAGACGCACCTGGAGCAAACAAAGAAAGTACATGTCATCGCTTCTCCGTACGTGGCAGTAGCCTCTGTGACTCTTCCAGGGTCTCGCTTTTTCAAACATTGTTTGTCCTGCATCTCAAATATACTTCTATATTCACAGTAATGACTGACCGCCGAGACTATCAAGAACCGTCAACGGGCATTCCAGAGAGGTGGTTCAAACGCTGATACTTTGTTGGAGCGCCCACCGTCGCCTCCGCCCTCGCTCTGGCTGTGCGGATTCATCTCGATCTGCGGCCGCAGCTCGGACGGCATGGCGTCGCTCAAGAAGAAGATCTGCGACGTCATTCAGGAGCCAGGCACCGATAACTTCGCGTTCCCGGACCTCCGTCAACATGTCCCAACCTCTTGGAGGAGGGTGCGGGCGGTCATGATGCACTCCACGTCGGGGCAGACCTAAAGCAGGCGGCTCGGCTAGAAGGCCCCATCGTTCCGCTTGAAGGGTGCGAAAAACTTGAGTTTGTGAAGCGGAAAGACGCCTTTGAGGCGTGGTTATTGGCGGACAGCCAATGGGCGAAATAAGTTGGTATTTTGAAGGCCTCTGGAAGGTTCAACACGCAAAACGAGGCTTCACAGCTCTTTCAGGTAAGGCGGTGCCTTAGTGAAAGCATTGAAGTCCAGCTTCCGTTCACAGGTGCGTTCTAGTTGGGATCCCTGTTATGCGGACACCCGCGGGACCCGGATGTTGATCCAAGGTGTACGTTGAGGCACACGATTCCCTGAGGTATATGCAAAATTCCACGCCATTTGAAGTTCGAAGTTTCAGCGCTGTCGGTTTTCGACGTCTCGAGGTGCATGTCTGTGTAGATCCACGTTTACCTGTGCTAGAAGGCCGACCCTCTTGTTGACGTTGTACGTTACACGTTCCCCCTGTTTCGTTAAAACTAGAGCCAATCCTTGCCGCACCATACCGCGCGGGGTTAGGTCCTTCCGTGCCGTGACAGCCTGCGTATCGTACCGTCAAGACAGAGAACCGTCCTGGCAAACGCTGTCGAGCAAAAATAGCTAGTGGTAATTTCGTACGTCGGCTGCCGCAGCGTCAGAAAGGGCCTGCCTCTACGGTTCCTCTCTTAACACATGCGAATCTCAACTTACGAATTACCGTTCTACCCATGTGCCATTTTTATCAGGATGCGCTCAGTCTACTGCAGGTTCGTGGAGCGGCACTGGTGGCATGTGATCTCATACACCTGAAGCCGTCGTGGATCAACAGTCTGCTGCGAGAAGTGCTGGATCACAACCTAGCGGATCCGACAAAGGTAGGACCATTTACGTCCCAGTTTTTAATGTTCTACGGTTTCTCCATCTCACACTACACCGACAATGCCCCCGAATGAATGACTATGAGTTTTCACTCTTTTTCGTGAGGTGGGAACTCCCGCCTAAAGCCAGTCCAGGGGTCGTATTTTTGTTCGCTTTCTCGTGTTGTGATACGCCCAAGCCGCGCAAACTGGCCTGGTAAACAAGAAGGCCAGATCACCGGGAGGTCACACGGTGAGAAGGCATACCCGCAATGCAGCTTGAAAGTTCCACTCTCACCGTCTCAAACTCCGCGTTTTTTGTTGGAAAGGGCCCTTTGGAGTCGCCAGGAAAAGGTGAAACATTGTTCCATGTAGCATCATCTACCTACTCACCAGGCTTGCTGGGTAGGAGCAAGGGTCAGAGTTTCCGGAGAATGGCGGCGACAACTTTAGTATTGATGATTCCTCTCTATGTTGTTGTAAATCCAGGACAAGTGGTGGCGGGGGGAACTAGAGGAGTACCATCGTGAGCATGGCATCGTGTTCAACAGGCTCATTAAGGCCCGCAGGTATGGTTAGCTCTATTTGTGACGATCGATGGTTTGAACTGTTGGCATTGCGTGCTCGCACCAAATAGCACATGAGGTTCCAAGAGGTTCTAGAAATCAGATGGAGTCATGGGAAAGCCCGCAGCACATCAGCTCCCCTGCTGCTTAACGGCCAGTTCTCTCATGCGTTGCACTATTGTGGTTAAAAGGTTTTATGTGTGCCAAGCACGGGGCGTTTATCGGTACGCGAATTCGAGTGCTATCGGTGCTATCGACATATAAATGACTGACACGAACCGGGTCCCATGCTCGTCAACGTCGGCACGGTCTGCTTGAGGCGTAAATGTAATCCACAAACGAGCTTGGCAGAATGTTTCTCGCAGGGAAAGGTTGGACTTGCTCTCAAGGAGTGATGCCTTCTTGTTGCTGCGCATCCGCGGCCGCCGCGAAGAGTTGCTGCTGTACAGTAGGGTCGGATCGGGATGTTGGTACAATAAGGAAGACCCGCGGCCTATGAAGACAGGGGTGTGCAGCTGTGTACAACTGTCGCGGAGGCAGTAACAGGTGCCACCAAAGGTGGGATGGGAGAAGATGTTGTTGAGGAACTGCACCACGTCCTGAGGCCGGATTCGCCGCCAAAAGGGCGGCGACGAGCTGATTCGGAAAATGTTGCAGTCCTTCAACGCGGGAAGAAATCCTGCTCCGATCAACTTGTTCCGGTGTGCATCATTATCGACCTCCTGCTCACAGAAATTTTCCCGACCTCCCACTCACAGAAAGTACGTCATATCGGGGATGCCATGCGTGGAGTATCTTGCTTCCTCTGGCGGAAGGTCGTGACGGTCGTCGACGACGAGGTCTTCTGCAGCCTGGTCGAGACCTTGGCTCTGCACGACGTCATGTTCCTGTTCGATGACGACGGGAATCAGGGAAGGGTGGGAGATCTTATGGTACCCGCTCGGCTGCCAGGGAGCGTCTCAGAGGCCTCCCTCGCTATGCTGAAGCAAGCAGTCTCCCAGGGCACCCGGATGCAGTTCGCGATCGACGCCGAGTACGTCCCGCCGGCGATTATCCCGCTGTTCCTCGGCGGTTTCTGCCGCAGGGAAAACATTGTGTTTCGTGCCTGCTGGACCAGGGGGCTGGCGTTCATGATGAGCGGCCAGGAAGGCCTGGTGCGCCTCGAGGAGGCTGGCACTGGGCCCCGACGAGCGATCGAGATTAGCATCGCGGGCCCTTACATGAAGGACGTGTCTGAGGTTGGGTTCTGTGCTCAGGGCAGCATGGAAAAACTCTTGGAGCTACCCGGGGCTGCAGTTCGATGCTTCGGCTGATCCCACCGAAGGGAAAGGGGAAGAAGCTTGGCAGGACAGTCTGAAGGGCCTCCGAGGGGACTTGTTCGAAAAGGTGTTGACCTAGGCATTTTCTGTCCTTACCTTAGTGGCGTGTACTTTCGTACTCAACGGTGGTTGGAAATGGTGATGATGACCATTCTACCGTGCATGCTTTTATTTACCCTTCTTCTCGCGTATATCCACCTCACGTGACGAGTGAGGTACACATCTCGAGGCGAGGAACTTGTTTTTTCTGTTCACGAGTAACGCCTGTGGCAGATGGTTTGCTGCGTTTCATCGATTTTTGTTTTATCTTGGCCGGGAAATCCTATGAGTGGTAGCAGGGAAGTAGGCGATTCTCTGCATTTTTTATTTCAACATCATCTGTGCAACTCGAAGCGAGCGCGTAACTCCAAAAATATTGTCAATGTCCTCGTACCTATTGGCCCGGTCTCGTGCAGCTCGATCTGAAAGTGGAGGCCATGCTCAAGAGAATTCTTGAATCTCTCAGAGCTAAAAGCCTGGGCCTCGACGAGGCCCTGGCCAACAGGCTCAGCTGACTGCGCTCCGACGAGCAGCTGGACATGGGCTGCCAGTTGGACGCGACGAAACAGGATATTGTGCTCCGCGTCGAAGAGGAAGCCGGGGACAAACTGGGGCCGACAAGTGGCGCGGGTATCGGAGGGTTGGGCCAGACGGAGAGAAAAGTTCTGACCAGCATCGCGCGAAAATAATTCGAAAGAATAGGGTGCCGTGTCAGGTTTGACGCCCTGTTTACTTGCGAACAGCCAGCGACCTACACAAGCTCATATTCCCGACCGCAACATCGAAGATACGGGTCAAAGACGGGGTTCGCGCTGAGTACGTCTTTCTGCGTTGGAATGCGCAGGTGGCCGATCCCCCGCCTAGTTTGCTTGCTCCCCGCCCCAGACAGCGGGGAACCAGCCCTGACGGCGGAACAAAGATCGTTCGATCATTTGTCAGACGCTCTGCAGCAGTGGTGCCTCAGCAAGAAGGCCAAGGGCAGGAGGCTGGCCACGCGGAAGCTTCGCCTGTTCTTCCTCTGCTCGAAGGACTACAGCCTCGCCGTGTGCGGGCCGGGGGGGCAAGGGTACGAGGTGCGCAAAGTCGCACGTTGTGAATTGTTTTTATATGCCTGTCCTCTCCAGCGGCTCCGGCGACGATTTTCTCGGTTACCCACACAGCTTCCGAGAGCAGGTGCTGAAAGCTTGGAAGTCGAAAGCGAGCGACTCTTTGTCGTCCCATGTGTGTAGAAAGACTAACCTTCTCGCATCGGGCGACGTGCAACCTCTTTCTCCCTCGTATGTATGGGTTGATCAGGTAACAGAGCTGCTCAACTGGGCAAAGAAAGCAAAGCCGGCGGCCAAGGTCGGGCTGGCCGTCGTCTCGATCGCCCTGAAGGTTTGCACCGGCCTGGCAATCCCCAGAATGGACTTTGACGCAGCCTTCGGGGCGACAACGGGCGATGTCGTGGCCGGGGTAGTCGAGGAAGCGGCAACCTCGAGCATCGATTCCATGATCAGTGCCGCGGGAGGCAGAATCGAGAGCGGTGGGCGGACGGAACGGCTCGAGCACGCTGGCGTGAACGCTCGCGCGATGGAAAAGGTGCAGCAAGTTCGGGCCGAGGCTCGCCGCTTTTTCGCATCCGAGGCTGCTTGACATTCAATCATCCGAATTAGCGGTCCGAAAGCGGGCTGCAGAGCGAACAACAGTTTTCTTATATTTTCGGTTCGTGTCTTGTTGTTCGGACGGGCTACGCAGGCCGTGTCACGCCGACCGGGCGTGCCGAGCCCAATACCGTAGACGACACTGCAAAAGAGGATGACACCTGCGCTTGATGAGTCTCGCCCGCCGTTCGTTCTCATGTATGCCCCTGCGCGTACGGATTGACGCTTTCCGCATCCCGGCTTCCATGTGAGGCCCCTCCCGCTGGAAGGTTTCCAATACGATCAACTCAAGGAAGTGGTCAAGAGCTTCGAGGTGAACGGAACGCCAAAGGGTAGTTCTCCGTTCCCCAGTTTCGACACCGCCATGCAGCTACAGGACAGAGGCGGGGACGCAATAGAATGGGCGAGGGTCAGCAACGGTAACATTGATGACTTCGTGACTCCACTACGTTAGTGCGCGTTCCTTCACTGCAGTTCAAGAAGTTTCTGATGGGGTTCATCCGTTCAGTGCTGTGCTGTCGTTGGCAATGTCTGGTTTTCTTCAGCAGTATGTCGAACATTCATCTACTCGCTAAGGTAAAGCGAGGTTTTGTACGGAGGGATCCGTGTTGTTCCATGGCCTCGCATTGTGACCACGGGGTGGAGTAAACGGCACTAGTGCTGTGAGCGCTGATTTGAAGTGAAGACAAAGAGAAGAAAAAAACCAAATGTGGCCAGCTCTCGTTGAACTTTTGTAGCAGCATTCACTGCACCAGAAGGTAACATAGGTCGTATGCAAAGACGTACTCACTCGTATAATGGGAGGATATGCAGTTCTGATCGGTTTTTCACGGAACAACGGCTTATTGCTTGGGCGGTGTTGGGGCAAGGCACCAACGTAGCAATCCCTCTATGCACACTCATGTTCAGGGAGGTTTCTTGTAGGCGCAGACAGAAAAAACGTTGTTTGTTGAAAACCTTCGAGTTGTCCCACCGTGTTTGTGGGGTTCGTGGATAAAGTATCATGTAGTACGGGACCCCCAGCACGAGAGGGTTATCTCGGATCACTCTGCCGAAGTCAATTGTTCATGTAGAGAGAATAAGCGCAGTATTGAATCTATCTCCAGCAACAGGCTTCCTTTGTTCGTGTGACAGGTTCGCAGACTCATAAAAATCTCGGTAGATCTCGTGTGGCCTACAGTAATTGCACTTCGATGCGATTGGCCGCAGTGACTAACTACGAGGAGATTGCGGAGCACTAGGGGATCCGCAAAGGGTGCAGGTAGCCTTTCGGCAAACCCGAGCCCTCCTCGATCGGCTTCGCAGCCTACAAATTCAGAGCATTTCTACGAGTCGTTTAGTTGCCGTATTGTCGCCGACAAAATGCAGGAACACAAATAACGGCGCAAACCAAACTATCAATATCAATTTTTCCCTCGATTTTCCTCCCAGGTCGGAGGCGGGAACAATACATTTGTACGTCCGAATGGTCCAAAACTCTTCCACCGCGGCGAGCATCATGGCATCACGCCCCCCCCCCCCCCCCCATGTTTTTCGCCAGCAGTCTCAATAGCATTCGGCATCAAGTCTTACGTCTATTCCCAAATCACACGTTGCTGTCGTGGATGGTGTATGTAGTCGACGGATCAATAACGAAAATTGAAGAAATCAGCGGGACATCATCCCAACAGGAACTCCCAGAGCATAGCGAAAGGTATGATATTCCAAGGGAGTCCTGTTACATAACGAGTGAAACACAGACATGGGCAAGGCAAGAAGGACCTCGCTCGTCACGTTCATCGTACTCACAAACTATGCAGCGTCCGGAGGCCCCGTAGATCAACACTCTAAGGATACCCCCCAAATAAACCTATCTTTGTAAGTTGCTGCTGGGCTACTCAGGTATATACGTACTCGAGGTGATGAGACCCGAGCCTTGGGCTTTCCAAGAGGTGATGCGTTCAGCAAATCCGTTTGAAAGCCAAAGCAAGCAGGGAAAGGATAATGAAGCAGGAGTGCGAACACAAGCTATCGCCGTACAACCGTCAAACGCAGGGAAGGAATGTAGTCTAATCACCGTCGGGATTCCTCTAAGACCAGGGCAATCCCCACCGAACCACCCACCCAGCCCCACCCGCTCACGAGGCGTGAAGAAAACTGAGAGCAACAACCACGAACTGCCAAACACAATTCATTGACCGCCGACCGGCCGGAAGAAAATCAACTACAAGTAGCTCTATCCTAGGCATCTCCACACGCTCCGTCCATCCAGCCTCCCACCCACCAGGCAACACCCCCTTCCGCCAACGTTTGGGTGGGCGAGGGTGGATAGTCAGGGCACATGAATGGGCGGTACATACCATGCTTGCACTCCACTCTCTTTACAGACAGACTAGGACCAAATGAACATAAAGGAAAATGTCTTGTAATGTGATGACAAGAGGCGAACACGAGACTGAGAGACGTTCGGACGAGCTGGGCAGAAACGTGCCGCGCAGAGAGAACGAAGACCAACACAAGGCATGTACATGCATGGATAGGCAAAACAAGCACCAGCCTAGAGTCAACTATTGTTTGGGATTTTGGCTGTTCATGGCGTCGCGGTACCAGGCAAGAAAGGAAGTGAGGGAGAGAGAGAACCCCTCGATATACGCTCGCTGCGGTGCCGATGTTGAAGCTTCGCCGCCACCGCCGCCACCATAGCTCACCCCCGGCCCCACCCGCGGCGCTGCCCACACGCCTGGTTGTTCATCCTTCACGTTGTTCACACAGAACGTTGCGAGCTCTTTATACGATGCCGTGTTCCTCAGCCCAAGTTTTCACGGCGCCGGTGAGGGGCGGGGACCCCGTCGCACCCCCATCGATGTACTCCTCCTGCTCGGCCCGAGAAAGGTTTGAGAAGCCCGACACCCAGCCTCTGCACCTGACCGCGCCGCATTGGCAGTCGAAGGGACACGTCATGTCGATCTCCATGGCATTGTAGTCGATCGTCAGCAATTCGCTAGGCTGGACTCGGGGCGCCCGGACCGTCACACGCAGGTACGGCTGTTCCTGCGAGTTGCAGTCGGTGATTGTAACATGGAGCGACAGTTAGTGCTGCACTTGTTTTTGGGGGTGGAGAACTTGAGACGTGTGCATGCCCCGTTTCAATTTCACAGACGGGTTTCGGATGTGCCCCGGACCTCCAACGCACACAGGGGGAATCGTCGTCATGAGTAGCGCGGGGAAATTCAAGGCCAGTGCGAACTCCTCCCGTGAACACCGCAGCTTGTTCTCATCCCGTTACCGAGATACACGGGCCGGCAAAGACGTCCGGCCGTCATCGTGTTGGAGAGGGGACTTGTGCCTGTACCTCCATGCAAGGTTCGCTTCGCGCGTCACAGGATTGACTGAGTCTGGGTAAATGTCGCGCACGTCTTGTCATCACGTTTTTCACACACAACCAAGGCCTTGTCCTACTTTGTATCGCGCCATCGGGAATATGACCCGCCAGCCAGATGCCACTCCAGAGGAAGACTTCCGTGTGTATGTCTCTCCTATGAAAAACACGCCGTCCCCTGACCGACATAGTTCCGGTGTCCCATTCCCATGCTTATCTTGCCATAGGCTGACATTGGGTTGCTAACTACAGTACGCTTCCTCTGAAGGTTGGGGGTGGGGGGCGAGGCTACACGAGTGTGAGTTCGACGTGTCTGGGATGCTTACTCACCGCCGTGTCCACCACCTCCAGCTGACAGTTGGGCTCACAGGAATGGTTCATGAGTACGAGGTTACCCCCGGCTTCCAGGTGCCGCTCTTTGCTGACCTGCACGCTGTGCCGCGTTTTCACGCCCGTGACCAAGCCTTCCACTCGAGCGAACAGCACCCGGTTCTCCTCCAGCACACGTGCTGCCACAAGGAACTTCTCCGTTCCGTCCTCTACAACGGTGAAATCGCTGCTGCTGCTGCTGCTGCTGCTGCTGCTGTTGCTGACTGGAGAGCCGGCGGCAACGAACTCGTTCGGGCTAGCAAGCGAAGAGAACCGAGCACCCGGATACGTGTTCCAGGCCGGGTTTGGAGGTCTCCCGGCTGCTTTGAGGGCCATCGACGCGCCGGCGATCCTCGGCGAAGGTGTCGGCCCCGGCCGAGTAGCGCGATCATCCGTGAACAGAAGACGGCTTCGCGAGGATGATAGTGCCCCGATCAGGGAGCCGCTGGCTTGCCACCCTGTGCGGCATCGGCGGGCCAAAGCGAGGGTGTGCATCGCCATCCCCGCTACCCACTTGTCAAGCTGCGGCCCTTGTTGCAAACTGCAGTCGACGAACCCGTCCGTGGAAGCAGCCTGAGCCGCCGGGGGAAAGGCAGCGAAGCATGGTACACGAGAACGCAAACCGGGGGGCAGGTACTAAGAGGACGTCCTTTTCTATTGTGCGAGGCACGCGGATGTGAAACTTTTCTCGTGCTTGGGTGTTATCATGGTAGACTCGTCGTTCCTCTATTATTTTCGTTCAAACGTTTCTTCATTCAATCCAAGCTGTCTACGACGACAACGCGCATGAAGAAGAGCCGGCTTCGACCCCACACCGTGCGCGCGCGCGTGAGAAGTGACGAGAAGGAGAGGAGGGTGAAGAGGTTGATAGGTGTATCGCGCAAAGCGGTGGCTTATGTAGAGATAGCTCTCTCCAGTACCGAAGCACCGCACACATTCATGTACCATGTACTTTGTAGCTGAATCTTTCGGCGTTTAGCAGACCACGGCAATCCGCTAAATAGTCGCCCCAGCGGTACCCTCGCAAACTTCTGGCGTTTGGATATATGTGTGTTCGAAATCACGGGGCAGTCACACCAACTGGGGTTTTGGCTCACGCTACGCCCAAACAACTGTGGGTAGCGATTGGCCGTTTTATGCTTACCTGGCAACACACCGTGGACTAGGGCGCTGCCATCGACAGATCCCTTCTCGCTCCAAAATTTCAGGCAAGCATTGCAAGCTGGGGCACATGCCCGGGCTACATCAACAACTTAATGCGAACTGAACCGTGCTCCGGACACGATTCCTGGGTTTCGCATGAGCGTTGTACGTGGATACCATAGAAAAATATTACGCGCTCAAGGAGGATACGGAAAGGCCGGACAACAAAGTCAAAATTCGGGGTCGAGACTCAATTTTTCTTTCGTCGAGCACCTACAGTATGAACATATCGAATGCAGCAGATATAATCGACCACGAAGAGAAAAAAAATATTGTTGCAACATGCGTTGGGAACCGATTTACGGGTGATTATACCCATTGCGATTTCACTCGAAGGAGAGGGACGGTCGAATCTTTCTCAACACATACGCACATGCAAGTCTAAGGCAAGCACCGCAGGAGGAGAAGGTGGTGGAAAGAAACAAAAACGAAAAGTTAAAAATTTTATTCGACCTTCCTCCTGGCCCCGACTGACATACATGTCAATTTCCCACCGCGACAGGTGGTCGCCACAACATCAAAACAACACTACAAGCAAACGCGACCAGTCGTGGTTGCAGGCAACATCTGTACGCCTGTCACCAAACTGCATGTTGTTATTCAATACAGTCCACTGTATGGAGCAGGAGTTTGATAGGAGGCATGGACACGAGTTGCACAGCGACATGACGTAGTCGAACCACATGTTCGTGATATTTAGTTGCCGCACGCAACGCGTGGTCGTCATAACATCAAAACAACACCACAAGCAAACGTGACCAGTCGAAGCCGCCGGCATCATCTGTACGCCGGTTACCAAACTGCGTGTTGTTGTACTGTACAGTTGATTGTACAGCTGTAGTTGTTAGGAGTTTGACAGGAAGCATGCAGTCGAGTTGCACAGCGACAGACTACATACAACGTCATGTTCGTGATAGCTGCCGCACGCAACACGTCGTCGCCACAACATCAAGGCAACACCAAAAGCAAACGTAGGAAGTGGAAAATTACATGGTTGGGTGTGACGATGGTTCGTAAAGGTTCGGTGCACGTCGCTACTGCACCGTGTGCGTGCGTCTCAAATGGTAGAGTAGCATTTCTCGACGCATACGTGTGGCCCGCAAAAAAAAATCAACCCCCCGATGTCGGTGTACACTAAAATGTAGTCCAATGTCTGACGACGACATCCTGTGAGTACTATACACTGTTAACATGATAATGTTATGGTATTTGGACACTTGGACTCTACATAGTAAGATACCATCTGGGCGGGTATATCTTTCAGGGATACCCCGACCACCTACCCAGATTGTAGTATTCCGACTTCAGGCAGGTAGCGGTACAATGGATTTGTGGCAGTAGCAAGCGATGTCCAAGCGTTCCACCTTATGTAGCCCTGCCCCTCTTTTTATCATCGGACATTTTCTGCAATTCTTTGCTCAGCTTTCATAGCCACTGTCAGCCTGCTTGCCCCAGTTTGCCCTTGTTTCAATTCTACCCTTTTGCTAGCCGAGAGCGTAGCTCTCTTGATTTCCACGTGGCGGTGTGGGAGAGGTTTGTGAGGCTCCGTATCCTCGAGCCTAGAGTAGATACTTCAGATGGATTGTTATTTCCCCCTCTTCATGTTCTAGCCCCTGCGTATATGTCCCCTCAGGGTGGGCTAGTGTTGTTATGGTATTTGGACCCTTGGACTAAGATACCATCTGGGCGGGTATATCTTTCAGGAATATCCCGACCACCTGCCCAGATTCCTATTATAGTGTTCCGACTTTACAATAGGCAGGTAGCGGTACAATTGTTCCTAGCAGCAGTAGCAAGGGATGTGCAAGCGTTCCACTTTGCCCTGGTGTTGCCTGGGAGTGAGCGATAGCGAGCGACTGAGAGAGGAAGGAAGGATAAGGAAGGAAACAGACTGAAGAAGCGAAGCGGCTCCAACCTGCACACAGCAGTGGTCGGACTACATAGCTCCACACTGAACCCGCATCAGAGATCGTCACATCTCGTCACAATAACATGATATAAAACGCTCCTTGAGAATAGCGAAAGCTCTTATCTATCTATGTACGTAGATCGAACACCGAGAATGAAAGCAATACTAAACGGCCCGTTACAGCACCACACAGCAGCATGGTAACAGCAGGGTGTACTGCGATCTTTGTAGCATCGTCATCATCATCACCATCAGCAATCAACAAATCATCAGCAGTTTGTTGCCGTTCTCTTCACTCGGCGAAAAGATATGGTACATAAGCAGGCCACACAGACAGGTCTTAGGCAGCGTTCCAGATACGTGTTGCGGCGTTGCGGAACCGCAACATTTTCGTCGCATAATGGGATATTATCCGCAACATGAGACGGAGCCTTTGTTGCGGCAACAGAGGTTTTGAGAGCGCAGATTTTTCGCCGAAGGCAAAAAAAAGAAAATCGTTGCGGCACTTTCTCTCGTTGCAGGCGAGAAAAAAAATTGAAAAAAATATGAGGCATTTTTCTGGCCGCAGGAGAGAAAAATTGTCACGTAACGAAAAGACGCCCGCAAAAAAAAAACACGACGCATAATAGACTGGTATTCTGTTTCTAACCACAGGTGAACAACGGGTTGTGAACAACATACAAATAGTAATTGCACTTTGATGCTGTTTTTTGTATTATTTTTTGCAAGAAAAGTGTCGAATATCGTCCAAAAAATCGCCTTCGGCTTGTCGTTACGGCAACCTGCGGTTGCTGCATGCACACTTAAGGCCTATGACCTATCTGGAACACTGGTTTTAGCTGTTTCTCGTACACACCCACCCGGCAAACGTTGGATAGAGAGAAAGATTACCCGACGGTACCAACGCAGGAACTCTTCAACCGCTTTGCAATGATAAGGAGGGATGATATCTTGACGTACGTATGTATGTGGACTATGTTGTTCTTCGTTCTGGTAAATGCGACCCACCAATCGGTCCCCGCATCCACGCCATTTTCAGCCTGACAAATTTACGGCGACGCCTCTTCTTTGAACAGATACTGTACCACTGATTGGTAGGTACTAAGATAGAACAACGTGCTCACTGGCAGCGTATACACTCTACTCTGTATGCGTCTACATGACGATTTACACGAATCCTGTAGACGTGGTACTTTGTCGGGGCATTTCTCGGGCGGGCATGTGTTCTCTCCGCGCTTGTGTTCACTGTATTTTCTGACAAACCGTGACCAAGACTTTGTGCTGCCGCTGCGGCTGCTGCTTGCTGCTGTGATGTTCATTTTACTGCCGTAGCTTCCTTTTTTTTCTAGTGTGTGCGTGTTGCAACGGAGTCTTCAAAAAAAGACGAGGGAAGAAACGGGTGAAGCCTACATAATAACCTTGTATCTATGCATACGGGCACGTTGTATTGTATGTAGACATAATACATGGGTTGCACAATAGGTAGCCTAGTCTAGACCACACGTAGCCTCACTCCTACTGGGATTGATCAGAAAGTCAAAGCTGTTGCGGCGATGGTGTTCTTGTGTTCCGGGTGAGGCTACATAACGTCTCGACACGTATCCTTGCGTGCTGCCGCAAGCAACAAGCATAACAACCGCATCAACCAGTCACAGCGACTCTGAAGCAAGCAGCACTTACTTCGATTCTCGAGCTACAAACGGAAAAGAAGAATTGATCGACCCATCCAGACAGACATCGGCTCCAAGCCCCAAGGACTGCGAGCAGTATACAGTAGTAGTACCAGATACTTCTTTTGTGCATGTATGTACGTAATCTATGTAAGTTCCGACCGTTTCCGTGCCTATACAGGGCTGCGCTCTTCTTCCGCATCATGACAGGCCGACCGGTGCCAAGAGCT